GTGATGTTAAAATATAAACATCCAGCACTCGTTATCGTTATTTATCGTATTTTTGGACTTACACCATACATTTTTAGGAACTCTAGGGGGCATAGCGGTTTAGAATATTTCGGGCTGGTGATAACAACGCAAATGGAAGAATATTGAAATGAAATGCTTTATCTGAAGTCTGGTTTTGAGTGACCTCCATATTCTTGCGCATATCGTTATTATAGGCCCTTATCAGCCGTTATCCCTTCCTTTTTTCCACCATATATGCTCCCGTAATACCCCCCCCCCACAACACTTCTTCGAACCAACGCCTCACTGATGCTGGGACGCCCTCTATGGATATCGTGGAATTGGCGTTCTGGCGCCTCTTATCGGCCCTTATCAATCGTTATCAGTTTCTGGCACCCACCAACAATGTCCCGTCCCCCCACATAACACTTGTAAGTATGGTTGCTCTGAAGAGCCAAAGTGATTGTAATCGCAGAGTATCTCGTCCCAATACGGAAAATCGAACGACCTCAGCGTGTCATGACGCCCGCTTGACTCACCCCTTGATACTAAAGTATGCCTCATGCTTATTCTCTCAAAACACAATGACAATAGTCCCCCAGTCCCACACCCACATGACACTTGGCGAGTTATGGTTGCTCTGGCATGTGCAACTGGTTGGCCAGTGTCAATTTGACACAGGGGGTATTGAGCGACTTTTGCATCTGGCTAGCGTCGATCGCTTATCAGCCAGTTGATCAGTTTCGCATATCGCTGTCCAATCATGTAGCACAATATCCCGGTGCGAGATCACTCGAAACCAGATTGTAGATAATGCATTTCATTTCAATATCATTGTCATTTGCGTTGTCATTGTCAACATCAAACACCATTCCACCGCTACACTCCCTAGAGTTCCTAAGGGTGAGTGAGATGTTCGAAGCAATACGGTAATGAGTACAGGGCATTTCCATGTGAACATCATGAACATCAAATATTGCTCGACCGCTAAATCACCGCGACATTCGATGCATGGTGGTTGTTTACAGACTTTAATATCGCACTTCACTGCGTTTGTCAAACAGTGAGCCTTACCTGAAATGAGCCGCAAATGCTACGGTCAGCCAACGCATTTACGAAACAACCTATTGTTCAGAGGTGGGACCTAACGGCTGTCCACTTTAAGCCTTCTGTAGGGAGGCGGTCATATGGCGCGATCCATTGGCATTAGAGCGCACAGGCCGCAATTGCCCCATCCTGCTGCGGCCGGACAACTCGTCCGTATCACTCAACTACTAGACTTCAGTAATTGATCGATCTGATAATTTGGGTCTCAAAAATCTCGCTGAGTCCCAAAGATCTAAAAAGAGCGGATAGCTTCGCTGGCCTGATGCCAAGGCAAGAGGAACGGAACAGAATGTGTTGCGCGGACGAGTTGTCCGGCCACAGCAGGACGTGGTAATTACGGCCTGTGCGCTCCAATGCCAATGGGGTCGCGCCATATGACGCGCACCCTTTTGTATCATGTGCGCGGTAGCATGCGGAGCTAGGCTGGTATAGCATAGAGCATGCTGCATCCGAGTAGGCACGAAATCTCAAAAGCAGAAGGTGTGACCACCAAATGTAACATTGTGCTACGCATTCTTCCTTCCTGGTCGTCTAGAGCATGCTAGCACATATCTTAGTTGCGAATAAAGTGCGTAGCGTTGCACAGGAAAACGAGTATTCATGCGATGAAGTGGAAGCATTTGAGAAACACTTTCAAACTGTCACTAGTAAGGTAATTCCTACTCATACTCAAAGCACAAAATTGCTGGGAACTGGCTTGACAAACCAAGGAGGAACGTCATGATGTGTACATTCAGATGGGTCTGGAGTACAAGTGGATGACACTAGCTGATGGGAGAGCTGATGAAGCAAAAAAGTGGGAGCCAGTGCATGTTGGTACCGCTGCACCGGCGGTATGTGTAGACGATGATGGCGTTGAGGTGCTTGGATGCATGAATTTGACAAATGAGACAGCTTCTATTGGATTTCAAGGAAAGCAAAAGGTACCAAGCTTCCTTCTCTCAATTTCTTCCTGCATAATTTCATTTGTTCGTTCATACTATACCAGTTTAGCGCCGCACGCTACCGCGCGCATTAAACGGAAGGTCGGGATGAGACAGGACAGCCGACAAAGCGCTAGATTCACCGCTAACATAGGCTCTTTATCTTAGCAGAAGCTCACCGTTTGATACGCGCAGTGGAGTGCGGAGCTAAAGTGGTGTCTGTAAACAACCACCATGCATCGAATGCCAGTGTAATTTAGCGGTCGGATTGTGTGTGATGTTAAAATATAAACATCCAGCACTCGTTATCGTATTTTTGAACTTACACCATACATTTTTAGGAACTCTGGGGGGCATAGCGGTTTAGTGGTATTTCGGGCTGATGATAACAACGCAAATGAAAGAATATTGAAATGAAATGCTTTATCTAAAGTCTGGTTTTGAGTGACCTCTATATTCTTGCGCATATCGTTATTATCGGCCCTTATCAGCCGTTATCCCTTTCTTTTTTCCACCATATATGTTCCCGTCATACCCCCCCCCCACAACACTTCTTCGAACCAACGCCTCACTGATGCTGGGACGCGCGCTATGGATATCGTGGAATTGGCGTTCTGGCGCCTCTTATCGGCCCTTATCAATCGTTATCAGTTTCTGGCACCCACCAACAATGTCCCCGTCCCACCCCACATAACACTTGTAAGTATGGTTGCTCTGGTGTCAACGCGAGCCAGGCAACGGAATCGACGACTTCAGCGTTCTGGCGCGCCTTATCGGCCCTTATCAATCGTTATCAGTTTCTGGCACCCACCAACAATGTCCCCGTCCCACCCCACATAACACTTGTAAGTATGGTTGCTCTGGTGTCAACGCGAGCCAGGCAACGGAATCGACGACTTCAGCGTTCTGGCGCGCCTTATCGGCCCTTATCAATCGTTATCAGTTTCTGGCACCCACCAACAATGTCCCCGTCCCACCCCACATAACACTTGTAAGTATGGTTGCTCTGGTGTCAACGCGAGCAGGTAACGGAATCGACGACTTTTGCGTTCTGACGCGCCTTATCAGCCCTTATCAGTTGTAATCACTTTCATCACCACCAACAATGTCCCCGTCCCACCCCACATGACACTTGCGAGTATGGACGCTCTGGTGTCAACTGGAGTTCCTTGACGGAATTGACGACTTTTGCGTTCTAGCGCATCTTATCAGCCATTATCAGTTGCTATCGCTTCCAATCATGTACCACCAATGTCCCGGGACCGCCCCACATAACACTTGTAAGTATAGACGCTCTTTTACCAATATGAACGGCAAAACGAAATTGGCGATGCTCGCTTTCTAGCCCCTCTTATCAGCTATTATCAGTCGTTATCAGTTCCTATCACGTACCACTTGTGTCCCCATCCCACCCCCTATAACATATGTAAGAACCACTGCGCTATCGTTACTGTGACTCGAGCTATGAATTTCCGGTCAAACACACACACACAGACACACGCTAGCCGCTTATATATAGTAGGACATCCAAAAAAAGTTTGCGTCTTATTGATTTGATCTGGGTCAGAGGCCTGTGTGTCTATGCCCTCCATTTGGGTGTGTATTCTGAGGGCATCACTCCTCAGATGTTAAAGTAATGGTGGTTCAACAGTTTCTCTTTTGACCAAAGCACACTTCCATGAAAGACACTTTATTCTCTACTACAGTCATAGAGCATCACACTTTCCTAGACTGTCTGCAGATTAACATTCGATAAACTTGATTTGCCCTTTCCTTGACATCAAGCTTGACCGACTTCACCCTTACCTCTCGCCCAAGCTGGTCTCCCGCTCGTAGCAGGGTCAACCGTCCTGTTCGAACTGTTCGAACGAAGGGGTCGCATTTTGGTCGGAAGGGGGTCGCAATTTCGAGGACTGCCAGCCACAGGCGCGTGCGTGGCGTATCCGAGGGCAAGAATTGTTTGTGCAGACCGCATTAGATTCGATTATTATGCACAGAGAGACAGTTTTAGGCAAATTACGGTGTTTTCCTTGAGGAATAAGAGAACAGTTGAATGCATCCCTATGAAAGGTTTGACTTCTCGGGGCTGAAATTAAAGTTCTTCGGGACCTAATTTTCTGAGGACGATTCTTCCAGACAACGGTAAACACATAAGAAAGAAGAAATCTCGTAGTCTTCAAAAATGTCTTCGCCCTCCCCAACAAGTTCTTTGAAGGAAGTTATTATTGCTGAAAGCTCAAAAACTCGCATGTGCTGCTCAAAAACCTATGGGAACAAATGTTCGAACGTGTGATTTTCTCGAAAAATGAACTTTGAAAAACGGTTTAGGGCTTGTTAGAAAGAGCAAATCCTGTACTTTCACCCCATGAAAAAAGTGCATCACAGAAATGAAAATGAAGTGAGTTATGGTCGCTGAAAGCCCAAAAACTCGCTTTTGCACGAAAAATGTTCGAACGGGACAATTTTTTGAAAAAGGGGACAATCACTAAACTTTTTATACTGTTTTGTTAGAGAAATATTTGAAGTTTCTGAAACTTTTACAGATTTCCAAAATGTCGCATACGAAAGATTTTATGGGCCTTCAAAGTTGAAGGTGCGCCTTCTCAGAATTTTGGGTTTTCCGCTTCTGACAGAAATACTTTTGGGAGAGTTAGGTCATCCTTGCAATTTTCTGTAAAGCCACCTCAGGCACAGTTTAAACCTACCTCAATAAGTGAAACAAATACGTCTCAAGAAAGTTACACTCTCCTAAAACTTTTTCTTCGCCGCGTCCCAGTTTTCCAGCGTCCGGGTGATACCTGCCGCGCTCCAAGGTTGACGCCGCAACGCAAACGCTTTCTGCGGCGGTTTCTGACGCAATCATGTCAGTCCTACTCTTCTTTAATCCTTCCTCTTTTTTCAGCTGTTTGAGCAGAAGTTCGTCAGTCTTCATGTTACTTGTTGGATATCCCTCCATTTGGTCTTACACATTTCGCTTTCATCCTCATTTTGGCGTGATTGTGAGCGAACAAAAATTTTGATCTCGCGAGGCTAACCATAAAAAATAGCTTTCATTAGCCAGTGCCCTGTGATTCTTGCTCCTTTGGGGCTCATCTTAGGAGATGCATTGATGGAGAACGTAACTCTCTTTGATTTACTCCCTTGAACTGCTCTTGTGATTCTTTCGGAAGCATGAAGTTTGAAGTTTTGGGCAACATGAAAAAAATATTGAATTTTTTTCAGAAATTCAATGATTTTTTGAAAACAATTCAATTCAAATTTCAGTGAAGATCTCAATATTCAAATGTTCTGTTCATATTTCATGGAAGTTCATTGTCCATTTGAAAACAATGAACTTACGAACTTACGAACACAACATTTGAATATTGAATTCTTTACTGAACATTTGAATTGAATTTTTTTCAAAAAATCATTGAATTTTTGAAAAAAATTCAATGATTTTTTGAAAAGAATTCAATTCAAATGCCAGTGAAGAATTCAATATTCAAATGTTTTGTTCTATGTCATGGAAGTTCATTGTCTTTAAAAGGTTTTAGTTCACTGTCTTTGAAGTAAAATGAGTGAAATAAATATTTCACTTAACATTTAGTCAGCACATTCGGCACTTCCATTACCTAAGAGGGGGTCGCAACTGGACCCCCTTGAGATAAGGGGGTGACCCCCTTGAGAAAAGGGGGTCGCAAAAACCCTGAAAATGTTCGAACGTGACGGTTGACCCTGGCTCGTAGTGGGTGAGCGCTAGTCCTCCTCGTGCGCCGGGCATTACTGCCTTCGCCGCTACTCACACATTACTGCCTTCTCCACGCCCGGGAGTCTCAGCACAAGGGATGTAGATAAGAACAGGCAGGCGGCTTCCGCCGCTCTGGACTAACGCTGGCGCAGAGCTACACGAGAACCCCGTCACCGCCTCTGTGGCTGCTTAAATACCCGTAGAAGAGCGGGGCGGAGCACATGGAAAAACATCATGACGGAGTCATGACACTCCCGGCCAAAAAGCGAAGGAAAGTAACGAGGAGTGGTTTCCTCCCAGCGGGAGGTTGAGTGACAAGTGAAGTCTTTTTTGAAATAGTTGATTCTGGAAAGGGAGTTTTGACTAGATTAAACACAAAAGCAAGACATTCAAGTGGAAATATCCTTTACAATTAAATGCATACATTCACATTCAAAACGGATCATCGACTTATGATTACAAGAATTGTACAGATAACTAATCTACATATGATTGCATGTCTCTGGGCGTTACAGCTTATTGAATCCACCGAAGTCCTCTCAATCGTAAAGTCTGGTAAGACGTTTGCTGTTTTCTTTTCTTTCCGATGGTATTCACACGTTCTCCCAACTATTTATTAGCCTCGTATAAGTGAATTGTTCATAACAAACACCAATTGAAGCCAGCTACAATCGACCAGTTTGAATAAGAAAAGGTGAAAATTAAATCAAATAGCTGATTGAAATTTGAAGTAAGTTTGAGAGTTGAAGGGAAAAAAATCGGATCAGTTGAAATTGATAGCTGTAATTTGACAATTGAAAGCTGAACTTGAAATTCGTGCTCAAATTTTAGATTGACAATGGCTTGATCATCTTTATGAAAAGTTGAATTGCTTGAAAAATTGAGAAATTGAATACATTGAAGGAATTGAATTATTTGAGAACATTGATAAAATTGAAGAGTGAGAATTGAAGGAATAGATTGACGATCAAATTGGATGGAAGATTGAAAGTGATAAGATTGAAGTAAGAAGAAATTGAAGTGAGAGGAGTCAAAATTTAAATTTATGCGGGCAAAAAGCACTATGATGATCGTCGTCTCTGTTTGCCTTTCTACAATAAAAGCAATAGCTGGGATTGGGACAAGATGTCGCTACGTGATTGCCTTTAAGCAAGCAGCGCTCGCACCTTTTCCTTTCGTCAAGCCTACGTTTACGATCAGAAAGGGTGCGGAAGCGCTTGCAGTCGCATGCGTGATGGTTACCATCACACAATGCACATTTTAGCTGCTGCGAGTTGGAACCGTCTACCTGATGACTCGGACCGGGCTGTGGTGAGCGACGTCTCGGTGGCGCAGCAGCAAGGTTTTTCAAGATATCCTTCTGCTCCCCTAGCTCCTTTAGAATGTCCTTCTGTTGGTTGTACACTTGCTCGAGCCCGACCATCGTGCGATCTACGACAGCTTTCATAGTGGTTGTACGTTGATCGATCGCGTGTAGCAGCGTCTGAAGGAAGCTCTATGTGCTATATCGTTCATTGACTACCTTCTTTTGAAGTTTTCCTTTTCCTACTTTTTTTTGCTAGGAACGAGGGACTACCTCTTCACGTCGAGCTGGTCGGAGAGATTTTGTTCCTATCTTCGATGATTGACCATTTTTGATTTTATTGCTCGAACGTGTCGTCTTCTTAAAGGAGTGTTACTTTGACAAGTAAGCAAAAGGGATTCTATCCAAAATTGACGTTGAGAGAGAAAAAGTTGAAAATTGAAAGATTCTGTTTTTTTTTTTGACAGAAAAGCAAAGTTATCCTTGAGAATGGCATGAAATCTAACTTTATGGAAGAAATCTGAGGAATTTCGATTTTGAACCTAGCAGTAATTAAGTTGAAAATGATTGAAATGTTGAAAAGTTGAAAGGTTGTAATGTAGGGTACTTACGGATACACTGCCCAGACGATTTTTCATCGGCTGGATATCTTCACTTCTTCCCAGAATGCGATTGACCTTCCTGTGTACTGCGGATAGTTCATCAGCTTCTGGAGGTACGCGTGGTTCGTCCAAGGCGCGGTACTCAACCCTCGGTGGACGTTGGGGTTCCTGTTCCGGCGGGACGCTGGTCTTCGTTGCCACCAGCGGCTTCCCATTTCCCGGTTCAACGGGGATTTCTTCCTCGACCTCTTCCATAGCTTGAATAGCCTCGTCCTGGTTTCCATCTCTGAAGGAATAGTTGATTGGAATGCTTTACCCTTTCGCTTCCAGCCGCTCAACAGCGAAAAGTTCGCGAAATCAAGCACAGCAAGGAACGAAGTAAGTAATTGAAAGTATTCCTGTTCAGTATTTTGAGATTGAAATATTGACTAAAGTAGAAGAAGTACCTAATTGTATATTGTTGTACTGATTCTAGGCTAACTCAAATTATTCAAAGGGAGTGATGAAGGTGCTAAAGAGTGGTTAATGCCCAAAATTGCTAGTATGACTTTTGAAGAATAGTTGTGGAACGATGTCGAAGCAAAGAAGAGCAAAGACGGACCGGTAAATAAAGAAAAAACCTAACAATGCGCTGAGAAATTTTGAAAAGAGAACAGAGCACGAAGGCCGGGACAAGCAGGAATGGGAGTGTTGAAGCCGTGGAAGCTGTTCCGTGTCGTCGTTGTTTTGGCGGCGCAGAGATAGGAAGCTACGATAAAGGCGGCTGCGGGTAAGCTTATGAGAACGATTACTGTATAGATGTAGAACGATCTGCAGACGTCAAGCTATGTCTGGAAATTCCCATTCGATTGTAAAACTGTCTTGATCAGCTTGTGTTGAGTTATTCCACAGCTTCGTATATTTCCAGAACGGTCTCATTCCGTTGATGTAGTTGAGTGTTCCGTATATTTCTAAAATCGTTGTTTGAGTGCCGCATCGAACGCGACATTGTTCCCTCACGCGCGCTTTGTTGAAAACAGCCGTATTTGGTTTTCCTTCCCCTCGCGTGTGCATGTGAGCACGAACTGTTGATGGCCGCACGTTGCTTGCGCGGTTGCTCGTGGCGTGTCTGCTGAACAGTCTATTGTGGCCACTGCCCCTTTGTAGCAGTTGTAGCAGCCGCTCAATGCGGTTGCTGCTACGTTGCATTTGAATTCAATTGCCTCCCTCTGTATTTGCAGTACGGTTGAATCGAGTTTTATCGCTAGTTCTATGGAGAAGGATTTGGTGTGGATCTTCGGTATCCTCTTAGGTCCTGCTACTATGATACCATTTGGAATCGGTAACGGTAGCATGTGTGACAGGTGGTACACCTGAGAAATATTGTTCTGGGCGCAGTAGCACAATATTGAATCTTCAGCCGGGTTGCATTTACAAGTGTCTCTTATACTGCATTGAGTTGGGGTATTGAAAATTGCAGGATTTGAAGTACAAGCATAACTAAATGTAACATCGTCATCCAGGTATGCTGTAGTTCTGTTGTTAGAGATGAAGCGCTTGTATTGGATAGTATTTGGTGAAAGGGCAAAGTTGGTCACCTCCACCTTGGTGTTGCCAAATGTGCGCTCCTCATAAGGCTTGATTTCTCCTGTGAAGGTCCTTTGAATTTGTTTAGTATCCAGCTGTTCAAGTTTGAGTTTAACGGTTTCATACCATGAAGAGCATTGAAAAACTTCGTGCACGTCGTTACCTGTAGGGACATGATAGATCCGATAGAATAGGCATCCGGAGGAGGGGAATCCACATGAACATCCCCATCCTCCGCATGACTCTGTACAGTAGGTGATCCCTGTAAAATTATTAGCTATGTCAAGCTCTTCTACAAGTGTATCCGTGGAGATTCCGGCACATTTGAGTCCAGTACATGAACCCCTGTGTGGGCATCTCTTGCTGGATTGCACACGAGTTTCCCGTATCTTGAGTAAAGTATAGAGATTCTTTTTGACAAGGTAAGGACTACTTCCAAGCGAGGCGTCGAGGAAATTTTGGAAATACGACCCCCCC